AAACCTTTTGCAGCTTCTTGCTGCGTGAACCTAACAAGTATACAGAGTAACCTTTGTAGAACCTTTAAGGGAGATTATGGATGCAAATTTGGATAATGATTAGTAATAAACTTGGATGGCTTCTGTCTTGACAAGTTAGTATTGCAGTTGTGTGCTGCAACCTGCCAGAGACCAATGTAGTAGAATTTGTTAATTGTGTCAGCCCTTTTGGATATAGATGTTTTCCTGAGCAGAGCAATAGTACAATAAGCCAGTAAATCTAAGTTTGACCTGCTTGTTATTATTGTGAGCCTTGGGTATGTCAAAGGCTTTTCACCAAGTCAGGGTTATTAATCAAACCTGACACTTTTTTATTGATCAGGCCTCAAATGGTTGGGTTGTATGCCACCCTGTTTATATATTGCTGTTTAATTTGCAGCCACCCTGCGTGCACTCTATCTAAGTGACAACGATTTTGAAATCCTGCCACCAGATATTGGGAAGCTCACAAAGTTGCAGATAGTAAGTAATTTATCTAAATTCTTGGGGAAAAAAATCAATTTACTTTTGCAGTCCTAGTTGATTTGCAAGAAGTCATGGGGGTTTTGTAGGAGTTAGCATCAACACCTGTATTGCCTATTGTTAATCAGAAAGTACTTGTGCATAAATTAGAAGAATGGGTGGGGCGAAGTAGCAAAAAGGAAAAGGTTGCATTTCTGAGAAGTCTTGATCTACTTCCTTTCAGCTGAGAATTGGTCTTTCAACTCCATGGCCGTGTTCATGAAACATACTTAACCTCCTTATTAAATTGACCTATTTTCTAGTATCATCTATTCATTGAATCATAATTTGAGCAGTCTGGATTTATACTAAATGTTAAGCTATAAAAAACTCAACCACAGTTAAGCCTAACTAAGCTTAGCATGTTGTGCAGATGCAGTATCTCCTCTGTTTAAAAGTGTTTTGTGTGTGAAGATTGTATGTCTCTGACTCTTAACCATTTTCCTTGTTTTTTAAAGCTTAGCTTTAGGGATAATGACTTGATATCACTCCCAAAAGAAATTGGGGAACTCACACAGCTTAAAGAACTTCATATCCAAGGAAACCGTCTTACAGTATTGCCTCCAGAACTAGGTAAGATTGATTGAAGTCTGAATAACCAAAGAGTTCTGGAAAATGTATATTTTTGGGGTATCTTTCATTTTTCAAACCAATTATTGCTTCAAACCAATATTTCAATAATGAATATTCCTGTTCTTTACTACTGCTTTTGTTAAATCCAAAGTGGGCATTTGGCAACAAAGTTTAATAAGAGTTGTTGTGAGTTGGGCAGCATACAAGTTTGAGGAAGGAAGGAAGGATTTCCAAGTTTGGAAGCCAAAGGTGCTAGCCTGTATTAGACTTTATATCTGGCAAAGAAAATGATTGGGAAGAAGTGCTTTGTATTTATGGAGCTCCTTTCCATTTTTCATTAAAGCACATGTGTCTTTTTTCAGGCTTCTATTTGAATCTCAAAAAAGATACTGCTGGTTTAAGAGTTATATCAGTGACAATCATGCAGTTCATTGAAGCAGCAGCAGCAGCATCTTTTTTCAGGCTGGCCAGAAGCTGAAAAAAGACATATGTGCTTTAATGAATATCAGAGAGGTGCTGTGTTCATTAAAGGTCTAAATTACTTCTTCCCAGTCATTTTCAATGTGTGATGTAGATGGCATTGTACCTTGCAATATTAGATTATGCATATTTCCCATTTTTTCAACTCTCTCACAGTCATTTATATTTGGCTAAAATTGGATTTGTGTTTGTGGATAAGTTATTGTCAGCTTATGAATCAAAGGCAAATCCTGATCAGCTATTTTTTAAATTCTGTATCTTCCTTTTCCACATCATGTATTGTTGACCTAGGCAGGCATTAAGATTGAAATTATGGTGTTCATTTGTTAGTATGATATAATGATGAGTAATGGATGAATTCCCAAACTATCTGTCCTTTTTAGCCAACTTTCCCAGAGCTGAAATTGAAGTTCAGCACACCTAGAGGACTTCAGGCTGGGGAAGACTACCTTGGACATGGTTTTTTGAAACCTAGTTCTGAAAATGATGATAAATAATAAGGTTCTTCAGAGAAGTACTCCAACTTGACAAAGTTTTGGTCAAAACACTCCTTTGAAGTAGTGCTGCCTTCAAGACTCCCAGAAGGAACAGTCTCACAATTTTGATCAAAATGCTAAAATTGGTTTCTGTGCATGCACAGCAAAGCAGCCAAATGAATTGAATTTGCTGAGTGCTTTTATTTGAGGCATCAGAAGAGCAATGTGATTTCTGAGTCCAGGTGAATTACACTGCTCTGATGGTTTGAATTGAGTTGATGCCTTTGGGTAGAGCTGTGCTGCTTCATATAGCCCTTGTAAAATAAGTAAAATACATAAACATTGAAGTTGGTGTTGACATTTTCAGGAGTTTAAAGTTATATACTCCAGTGGAAGACAACTAGTGATTCACTGCAACCACGAGGTTGCAACCAGTTACATGAAATGCCATGAAGCACTACATTTGTGAGATATGTGTAGATATAAGATATATATACATACATACATGCACACATGTATATACACACACCTAAGCACTGATAGTTGAACAATTAGAGCACTGTTTTAGAAGAAAATGTGGGGGGTGGCAGGGAGGGAGAGCCAAAACAAGCAGCGAATACAATTGGTGAAATCAGTAGTGCATGTCTTAAAGTGCATTATTTGGCTTGCCTGTGTGCAGTGCAATTAAAATATTTCAGCAAAATGCATAGTAGCCCTAAGTAAGAGGTTCATTAATGGTTAGAGAGCGGTGCAAAGTCATCAGAAAAAACGCAGCCATTGATGAAATAATGAAAGGAAGTTGCACTACTGTAACAGATGTTGTGGATGTGCGAAAATAATCATGTTATCTGAAAACTGATGAGTGTAGGTTTTATTATTGCATGCCTTGTTTTATATGCCATTGATGAAATAATGAAAGGAAGTTGCACTACTGTAACAGATGTTGTGGATGTGCGAAAATAATCATGTTATCTGAAAACTGATGAGTGTAGGTTTTATTATTGCATGCCTTGTTTTATATATAGAAACAAGTGATTTAACAAAATGTCAAGAGGAGGAAAAGGAAGAATAAAACAAAGAAAGTAAGGTATTTTAGGTAACACGGGTGGAGGGAGGAAGCTGCTTTTTGTTCAGCTTTTGCATTACATTATGCTGCATTTACCATGTGGCTGTGATATATCAGGATTTCCAGAGTCTGGAAACTAAGTATAAGTCACTTAAGCTGGATAAGTTAATAGGCACTGGCAATCCTTTCTTAGCATAAAATTGGTCCTACTGTCAAAAATCTCCACTGTCAACCCAAAAGAAAGGACTAAGACTCCTGTAACAGCACCTTGTTTGCCTCAGGTTAAGAAAAGTACAGAGCACCACTGCATCCTTAGGTTAACAAATCAGGCCCATCCATAAGGTTTGCTTTAAGGGGAATGGTAGTCATGGCCCTATTTACAAGTTATTTTACCAATTTTATGAGCTGAGAAATGTTTAACCAAAGAGAAAGCTATACTCACAAGGAAGAATTGGTGTATCACAATAATTTCTAGCCCAAATTTGTTGACATCAGTTAGGACCAGCATTTGCTTGGAAAATGACACTTTCAATCTGTGATTATTTAGTCTGTAATCATTTTTTTTTTATTTTTTTTGCTCCCTCCCCCTGACACATTGGGTCTGGTATTATCTTCTCAAGTGCCACTGAAGGTAGATGCCCACCCTGCTCTTAGGAGGATCTCATCCATGTCAGAAGGACTTGCATATCAGTACATCCTCTGCGGATTGTATCATGGCTAACACCACCTCTTCTTTGGGAAACAAAGCACGTGGTGTCAGAGTAATAAAAAGCTAAGCTTTTAAAGCATATAGTAAAGCTGAGGAAAATCATGGTTGGCTTGCTTTTACATATAACTGAACAGTTCATTCTGTTCAGTGGAGTTATCCCATGATTAGCCTTTAATAAAATTGGATCTGGGAGTATTTATATATAAATAGGAAAATAAAATTAATTTCTTTCCTCATAGTATTGTAAGAGAATATACCCTTTCAGCTGAAGTAAAAAGAAAAAAAAAAGGCACTTGAACTTAAGCTTTTGTGTCACCTGTGACAGAAAATTATGATACCATGGGGGGATCTTTTGACAAAGAAACAGAATGAAGAATGGGCAATTGAAAAGAGAGAAAAAGGTTAATGGGGTAATAGAATATGTCCTATGGAAGGACCCAAATGTTGGAATAGAATTTAAACAATGATTGAATGAAGAAGCCTTTATTTCAACCATGTTACTACTTTAAATCTTTGTTCTAAATAGTATGATTTTTTTTTTCAATGAATAAGTTTTTTTTTAAGGAAAAAAAATTGTTTCCAGCTGTTGCTAGATGCAGATTTGAATTAGACAGGTAAATATTAACATTAGGATAACCTTAGCCTGTGTGATTCAGGTATTGGACTTAGGCTGGGAAGACCCTTGTCCCAGAAGCTCATTGAGTAACTTTTGGCCAGTCCCTCTCTCACCCTGTCTTACCCCACAGAGTTGTTGTTGTGGAAGAAATACAAAAAGGATTCCTGAGTATGCTGTTTTGAGCATCTGGAAGAAAGGCAGGATATCGAAAGATATCTGGATATCTAAAGAATAAATAAAGTTAGAATGAATACCTGTCTAAATTAGGAAATGGAATTTTTTTTTTCTGAAGATGATTTTCTATGGCTCTTCAGGTGATTTTAAATTTTTCCATGCACATTTAAAATTGTTTTGTAGTCAGCTGGTGCTTAATGCAAGTTTCTACTTAGTATTTGGAATCTGGTGGTGTGTGAATAAAATGTCAGACTGTCCTCATGATTTTAGGGAAAATCTACTCACCTCTATTTTTTAGCATTGTTTTTAATATTTTACTAATGTAAATTGCCATGAGTCATATGATTTGAGGGTATACCAAAGAAATAAATGTATAAATAACCATCTCCAATGTGATTGAGTGGGCCCATACTCAGAATAGAGTGCCTGTATTATCTCAAGCTATCCTACTGTATCTTCATATTTTAAAAAGCATTGGATGGCAAAGTTGGAAGAAATCCATCCCTCTTTTCAGTGCAAGATTAAAGCTACTCTTACAGATGGCTGTTTAATCTTTGTATAGGTCTTTAAGCATCTTGGAAAGATGTGTATTTTATTTTATTAGATAACTTTCCCTACTTACATTACTTTTATGGGAACTTCCGCAAGATGTTTTAGACCCTGTGGCAGAAAATTCAATTAATGCCCTTATTCCTCCTGACAAAAATAAAAGATAAAATTAATGACCATAATTTTTTTGCCCTTTTGTGATATTGTCTCATTATGTATAACAGTCTTGCTCTTTCTCCCTGAAGCAACACAGGAGTTAGGGTCTCCAAATAGACATTATTTCTTTTCAGGGATGACCTCTTTCACTGACTTTTACAGTGTTTTGCAATATATTTGAAATATTGTATCTGAGCGGTGAGAAAAGCCAAACTACATGTGTATGTCTGATTTAGTATGGATAATACACTTTTCAACCTGTCCAAAATTAGAGTCCTGTGCTCTTTCTGGATGAGATTTCTGGAGTATGAATTTGACTTACATTGTGCAATTGCAGTAGGCTGATTTTCTCCCTTATCCCAATGGTAGGATACTTGCTGAATTGTAAGGAATGGTTACTGTGTGGGAGGCTTTTGAGACAAGTGTCTGTGGTTCTTTCCTGCAGGTAATAAAATGGAAAATCCAATTTGGAATTGTAGAATAACCCTCTGAATGAAATATGATCTTCATAGCAACTTTGGTCAGAGGGTTACCACTAATCACAGTGCTGGCTTGCTTCCCCAGCTCTTGTTTGAAGTAGCTAGCATAGATTTAGACACCCCTGCCTTTTGCTTATTAGGTTCTCTTAGTCAGTGTTTAATCCCACTCCCTGATCCTTGTTAAAACAGAAATGCTGCTGCAGCCTCTAATAAAGGAGATAGGCTGAACTTCCAAACTAGGGGTGTTCTTGGGAATGATGGAGGGCTGAAGTGCTTCTTATAAGTTACTTTTTAAGAGAAGGTCAGATATCCAGATAAATGGCAGAAGAGCATTACTGGGATAATGACAACTATTCCTAGGGCAACATGTTACCTCTTTCTTTTTGTTTTTGTTTTGTTTTGTAAAAATTTTATTAAAGATTACAATTAGAAAAACTAAAAACTAATACGAACTCCAAAAAATATAAGAATAAAAATAAAAAATAAAAAGTGTAGTACAAAAAAAAAAGAAAAGAAAAAAGGATAAAAAGAAAAGAAAAAAAGAAAGTATATAAAGAGGTAACTTCCCCCTTCATCACAAGTATAAACAATTATAAGTAGTACAAACAAGTAGTAACTTATCACCATCTCTTAAAATACAACAAATGTTCTCTTCATCCCATATCTCATGTCTTAACTATAAACAAAATCCAAAAGCCTCATCATCCGTTCCTTATCAGCAAAAGCCCGTTAAAGGTTACCAGAAATAACTACCTATCTATTTTAACCTTGATCAGATAAGCCAACTCTATATTCCTTTCCTATACTTTTAACAATCTTGGTTTTTAATCCCTTCAAATAATGTCTTAGAACTTGATTTCTAAGGGCACAGATAGGTGGGTGGGGGGAGTTGAAGTGCCCCTGTGGTCATAAGTGTGGGCAGGCTGCCAAGCACCCAAATTTTGATCACATGATTGTGGGGGCATTGCAACGGCCGTAGATTCAGGGACCGGGCATAAGTACCATTCATTCAGCACTGCCATAACTTTGAATGGTCATAACTCGAGGGCTACCTGTAATTATGAAGAAACATGTGAAAGTACTGAGCAAAAACATGATGAACATTAGCTCTCTGGCAGATAGAAGGAACTGAAAGGAAAAAAAAAATCAAACCATAGCCTTCCACCATTGAAAAAGCAAAGTGAAAAATTATCCCACTTGTTATAGGATGATTTGAAGCTACGTGGAGAATCAAAAACTGATGTTGAATAGTTATATAAGAATATACAGTGAGGATATCAAAATGAAATTAGGATTTGACAAATATGTGATGATCAGCATAAGGAAAGACATACCTTTCACGTTCTTTTAGTTGAATATTAATATTGCATTTTGTAGTTCGAATCTATATCTGTCCGTAGCTGCAAGGTCTGTGATAAACTACTGATGATAAAAGTGGACCTGTGTGATTCTTAGCTGATAGAATCATTTCTTGAATTTTTCTTGTTGGCTTGTAGATAATTTTTAAGTTGTATTTTTCCAGTAATATTCCATTTCAGTCTATAACGTTTTCACCTTTTCTACTGGGGGTGATTTGTCCTTAGATGTATGTACGGTGTTATTTTTATTGCTGGATTATATCACTTATCTGATCTCACTGGCAGAGTAACTGTCAGCTTGGAAAGTGTGTCAAGGTATCTCAACTCATTAGATAATCTTTCAGGCTCACAAATACCACATAATGAGACCACAGCGTATTAACCCAGAAGCTCATCACCATAGTGCTGGCTATGGAAGCCTGGATTAATATATAAAATATAGGGATTGAATAATCAAAATAGATTATGACAGGCATGTTGCTAAGTCATCCCTATAGCGATTGACATTTTAGGTGGAATAACAAACAGATTAAACAATTTTTTGCAAGCATTATATATTTTGGCTATATCCACTACAGAATTGCCAAAAAAAAAAATAAATCATTTTACCAGGTACATATCATATTTTACATTACTTGGATAATACCTAGATTTTGATTTGAACTCAAATTTCCAAAGAACATCAGTCAAAGATGTGGTTTATTTTGTTTGTTCTTTGTATTGTGCTATTCTTTGATAAATAAAAACAACTGCTACTTTAAAATGGCATTCAATATTCTGAAATGAAAGCTTGCTTGAAATTTCAACATGTTTGCCAATTGCACCCAATTAAATATTGATACTCTGACATCTGAGAGTGCTATGAAGTCATGGCCATCACATTGCCAACACTGCTATTGTGGCTTCGGGCTACAGTATATGGAAGAGCACCTTTTTATATGTGTTCCTACCAAAATCCTAACGTCACCTTTGGATTCCCATGCTGATGGCACAGTTAGTAGATATTTCATAGCAATCTTTCCTAGTGTTGCCTGGAATTGTGTAGTACCTTCCTTAGTGAGGTGCATCTGGTGCCCACTTTACAGGTAGTCCTTGCTTGACTACAGTAATTGGGACTAGAATTTCCATCACTAAGCGATCTGGTCGTAAAGCATGATGTCATGTGATTGCATCGCTTAGTGATGGAAATTCTAGTCCCAATTACTGTAGTCAAGCAAGGACTACCTGTAAAGTGGGCACCAGATGCACCTCACTAAGGAAGGTACTACACAATTCCAGGCAACACTAGGAAAGATTGCTATGAAATATCTACTAACTGTGCCATCAGCATG